AAAGAGCAAAAATGTAGGACTGTTAGCCTTATAAAAACATAATTCTTAATGAAAAAAATGTTACTAGCTCAGTGAACAATGGCTTCTTTTATAAGGAAACTGGGAAAATATCATTGTTTTGCAACTTTTTCCCTTTAGCCTCCCATTATGCCCTACTTAATGGGAGAGGTTAGAGCATTTTCCCCATACATATCTTTCCTTCAAACAGTGTCCACTGTTTCCTAGTGTTCCTAAAAAGCTTATGTTGTCCCCAAAATTTATGTTATGCTGCTTTCCCAAAAAGCTTATGTTGTCTTCTAAGACCATTCTCTGTAAATACAGCCCAAATCCCAGTTCTTTTGATGGCTTTCACACTGAGCTGTTTTCAGGTCTTGCTGGCGATCCTTAAACTAAACCTGCTCATTATCCTGTAAGGTGAAACTTTTATTTCCCATCTTACTTTCCTTGAGTCAAGGGGTTTCTTCAGCATTGTCAAGGTAGATTTAAAACAAAACTTTAACATCCTCTATTCCAGACAAAGATCAGCCAACAACAATGAAAAGCCAACTGTTTACTTAGTTTTCTTTCATGTCTGATACTGAACCCTATTCCATCTAATTTATTCAATGGAGCATTTTCCCCATACATATCTTTCCTTCAAATAGTGTCCACTGTTTCCTAGTGTTCCTGAAAAGCTTATGCTGTCCCCAAAAGTTTGTTATGCTGCTTTCCCAAAAAGCTTATGTTGTCTTCTAAGACCATTCTCTGTAAACACAGCCCAAATCCCAGTTCTTGATGGCTTTCACACTGAGCTGTTTTCAGGTCGATGCCAGCTCTGGGCTCAGCCAAGTTGGCTCAGTATTACATGTGCCTAAAGTTGCCTGGAGACATGCTGGTGCCAGGAACAAACTTCAGGCATTTCAAACTTCACTGTTTATTTTTAAAGTCCATATTCCTTTTATTTAAGAACTCCTCTTCCTCTCTCTTCTACCAAAAAATCATTCAGCTTTCAAAACAGGGCTCATTCTAGAGCCACAAAGTCTTGTTTACCCCAGAAACTTGGCCAGCAGGTTTTGAATTCTGAACAGTATGCCCTACTTAATGGGAGAGGTTAGAAGGAGAGAAAATCACTTTCCCAGAAGTATGCAGCTAAAATTCTAACTAATCTACTTTTAAAATTTGAAATGATTTCTTCCTTCCTTACTTTATTATAAGCAAGCCTGGTTGAAAGCCATTGTTGATGACTTTCTAACGCAGTCCAGGCCTGTTTTTGTATACACGTTGTCTCTCGCTGAAGGCCTTCATCTTCTCTCTAGTCTTTAGTGCTTCCTGCCTTTGTCCATTCATCAGGAGTTCATATTATTTTTGAAAGGAAATTTTGATGAGATATTTGCTGTACTGTGTTAATTCAAAGTGTAAGTCATCTCTGAAGACTCTGATGATTTCCTTCTTGGCATTCTGCTTGTGATTATAGATGATATGACCAAGTAAATATTGGATCCCTGCATTTGGCAATAGCTCCCAATTGTAAACTTACTCCAGATGTGGTTGAAATAATCTGAAGTATGACCTAACAATGAAAAGTTTAATTATGAATGTACCATTCCCCACAACTACTTTGCTTAATATAAACAAACACTTTTAGACAGACAAATATATTTATCCCAGATACAATCTATGCTGTCTTCTTCCATGAAACTCAAGCATTAAGTATCACCATCTAATTCCTATTTCTCCCATTTTTCCATAAAGATGCTGAAAAACTTCTTCCACTTGGAGTTTGTGTATCAGATGCCTAAACAGTTCTCTGTTCCAACCATGTCTGCCTTCATAGCAATTATATTCTGTAGTCACCTTGCTATCAATTCTAATTCTCTAATTAAATATCCTTTCTTGGAGTTTTATCTTGATATATAATATCTAAAGACCGATCCCTTCTTAAGATTTTTCTTTATGCAATTTTCTTTTTCAGCTCAGAAAATGAAGAAAACTAAAAAACTTCTTGCCCTATAATAGTCTCTGTCTATCGAATAAACTGCTAACGAGGCACATCTTAAAACAGCGTGTCAATCCCCCCCCAAGAACCTTCTTTCCTGTCATATTTCCTCTCTTTAGTTCTCTGTGGTGCAATCTTGACAACATATTTTATCATTTTCAAAAATTTCAAATCTGCCTGTTCTTTTTTTTATAATGTCATATTATTTTCTTAGGATTATAAGTACTATGTCAAGTCTTTAATTATTTTCAAATGGCTGTTTTGTGTTCTTTGATACCATTGTTGCAGCAATAATATAAAGTTCTTGGGATATAATCCCCCTGTTGCAATGCCTGCTGGTTCTTGCTGATGGTAAATGGTTCCAGGGTCCACCACAACACATACACACTGCGGGGGATTTGTTCACATCATCCTGCGTGTGCTCTTGCTGTGTGCAACACACAAGCTAAGAAGACATCTGTGGTGTGTCTAATGGGTTCTGTTTTGATGTATACGTTTTTATCAGTAACTTTTTTTTTTTTTTTGATTTTTTTTTTAGTAGAGACAGGGTTTCACCATGTTGACCAGGATGGTCTCGATCTCTTGACCTTGTGATCCACCCGCCTCGGCCTCTCAAAGTGCTGGGATTACAGGCTTGAGCCACCGCGCCCGGCCAGTAACTTATCTTTAATAGGAATATTTTTTCCTGTGGGAATCTCATAGAAATTGCCCTCCTGTTTTACATAAATTCTGCCAAGCATTCAAAGGAGATTATCAGGTATCAATTTTTAAATGATTATTTCTTTTAAACAATGGAAGTTTCTGGACCCCGAAGGTGTTATCAACTCAATCCTCAAATCTGTGCAAGGTATGAGGCAATTTCAGTTTTTCAAGAGACTTCTCAGGAGAGACTCAAGCTTCCTTTTTATTTTCTTAAGTTGGAAATGATTTTTTTCCTTTTGCCATTCTTTCACCGAAAGCATGCCCCCTCAAGGGTTCCTACTTTATACTGAGTCTCAGCCACAATAGGCAACCATAAGCGAACCCAAGACTCCGTCTCCTGTGCTCACGTGGTTGTTTTCCCCAAATCCCTAGGTCAGTAGAAACTTTACACCCCAATCCTTGCTTGCATGAAAAAATACAGGCAGCTACCTGTATTGGTCCATATACTCAGCACTCTGTTTTCAGATCCCTTCTCATTTTTTGCACCATGAAATTTCCTTGTTTTTCTTACAAACCAAGCTTTGCATTAAAAGTAGTTTTTATCTAGTATATCTGGTACTGCATGTACAAAAGACGTGTACACATACTTTATCAAAGAAAAGATAGAGATGATAAATAACATGTCATCTTTCCAAAACAGAAAATGTTATATTGTTGAAATTTTAAGAAAAAATACTCCATACCGCATATAAAAATTAACACAAAATGAACCATAGGTCTAAATGTGAAACATGAAATCACAAAATTTTAAGAAGAAGACAGGAGAAAAATCTCTGTGATGTTGACTTAGGCAAATTTCTTAGATAAGACACAAAAAGCATGAACAAAAAATTAGAAAAAAGATAAACTAGACTTTATCTAAATTTAAATGTTCTACTTTTCAAGACATTCTTAAGAAAATGAGTGCCGGGCACGGTGGCTTAAGCCTGTAATCCCCAGCACTTTGGGAGGCCGAGGCGGGTGGATCACGAGGTCAAGAGATCGAGACCATCCTGGCCAACATGGTGAAACCCCGTCTCTACTAAAAATACAAAAAAGTAGCTGGGCATGGTGGTGCGTGCCTGTAATCCCAGCTACTCAGGAGGCTGAGGCAGGAGAATTGCCTGAACCCAGGAGGCGGAGGTTGCGGTGAGCCGAGATCACGCCATTGCACTCCAGCCTGGGTAACGAGAGCGAAACTCCGTCTCAAAAAAAAAAAAAAAAAGAAAGAAAAGAAAAGAAAATGAAAAGACTATTTTTCTTAGAAAGAAAATGAAAAGACAAACTGAAGACTGAGTGAAAATATTTACAAACCATGTTTGTCAAAAGACTCATACCGAGAATATAATATATATATATGACCTATATATGTAGTCTCATGACTCACTTAAAAAAATCTAATTTTTAAAATGGGCAAAAGATGCATACAGTTCACTTTGTTCAAAGTTTCACTTTGTCAGTGAAAATATATGGATGACAAATAACATCATCGGTCTTTAGGGATGTGAAATTAAAACCACGAGATACCACCACACACTTGCTAGAATGAACAGAATTTTTTAAAGCCTGACAATACCAAATGTTGACAAGAATGTAGGGTGACAGGAATTCTTATACACCTCCGTATGAAACAATACAGACATCCTGGAAAACAGTTTCGCAGTTTCTTATAAACATACAATTACCATATGATCCAGCAATCCTATTCCTAGTATTTACCCAAAAGAAATGAAAATATATGACTATACAAAGACTTATACACAAATGCTTGTAATAGCTTTACTATTTGCTATGGGTTGAATTGCCCACTGTCCCAATTCCTGTGCTGAAGTCCTAACCCCAGTACCTCAGAATGTAACCTTATTTGGAAACAGGCTGGTTGCAGATACAGTTAATTAACGTGAAATCATACCAGAGTAGAGTGGGCCTTTAATCCCTTATGACTGGAGTCTTTTTAAAAGGAGACATTTGAACACGGGCACAGATACAGGGAGCGTGCCATGTAAACATAAAGACGGCCATTCACAAGCCAAAGAGAGAACTGGTGACCCTCAGAAGGAACAAACCAGTGGTGGTGGGAGGGCTGCTCACAACGAGCCGAGCTTGGTCTGGACCGCAGCACGAGCCCCAGCTTTCCGCCTCCCGCCTTCGCCAGCCCGAGCCCAGCCGAGGCAGCCCGAGCCCAGCCCGAGGGCAGCCCGAGCCCAGCGCGAGCCCAGCCCGAGCCCAGCCCGAGCCCAGGCCGAGGGCAGCCCGAGCCCAGCCCGAGCCCAGCCCGAGCCCAGGCCGAGGGCAGCCCCTGGCCCCAGCTGCAGCGCCGTGGCCGGGTGGACGCCGCCATCGACAACCTCATGGCGGACGGGACCCATAGTGGCCTAGAAGGACTCGCCCTCCGTCTGGGCCGCAGTCCCCAAGAAAACCTTCGTCAACATCATGCCAGCTGAGATGGCTGTCCTGGTTGGCATAGACCAGTCAAGTTTTTTCGTGAATGGGCTGACGCTCGGGGGCCAGAAACGTTTGGTGATCCGGGACTCACTGCTGCAGGATGAGGAATTTAGCAAGGATCTTCATACCAAGAGTACAGGTGGAGCCCCCACCTTCAGTGTCACTGTCACCAAGACCGACAAGACGCTAGTCCTGCTGATGGGCAAAGAAGGTGTCCACGGCGGTTTGATCAACAAGAAATGTGATGAAATGGCCTCCCACCTTCGATGTTCCCAGTACTGACCTCGTCTGTCCCTTGCCCTTCACCACTCCCCACATCCTTGTACCCCCTTACTCCCGGTATACACATACACTATTTTATTCTGGGGGCCATTACCCCACACCCCTTATTGCTGCCAAAACCACATGGGCTGAGGGACAGGGCTGGATGGTCGGACACCTCCCCCTACCCATCCTCTCCTGTGTGTGGTTGTAAAACTTGTTTTGTTTTGTTTTGTTTTTCCTGAATAAAAAAGGTTCTACATACACACACACGGAACAAACCTTGTTGGAACATTGATTTTGGACTTGCAGACTTTAGAACTGTTGGACAGTATATTAAGCCACACCGTTTGTGGTACTTAGTTACGGCAGCACTAGTAAGCTGATATAATTAGTCCAAAATTGAAGACAACCCAAATGTCCACTAACAGATGAAAGGATAACATAGTATGGTACATCCATGCTGTGAGATACAGCTCATTAACACAAAGAAACTAAGTACTTGTAAATGCAACAACATCTCAAAATCACTCATGCCAATTGATACAAGCCAGAAACAAAAGGCTACCATCTGTATGTTTTTATTTACTTCACATTCCAGAAAAGCCAAAACTGTCAAGACTCAAATAATCAATGGTTGCCAAGGGCCAGTGACCAGGGGGAATAAATTGGGTACAAAAAGGCACAAAGGGACTTTTAGGGGAAAAGGAAATATTCTGTATTTTGATTAGGGTAGTGGATATATTATCATAGACGTTGGTCAAAACATACACCTAAAAAGGGTGAATTTTACTGCATGTAAATAACCATTCAATAAACCTGACTCCTAAAAATTATATTACAAAAAATACCAAGATGGAAACCAAAATATCATATATTCTCATCACCTAAATATAATTACTATGAACATTTTGCTATATTAGTATCTAGTTTTTATATAGAGAATATATATTTTAAAGTGTAGGGTGACATTGTATATATAGTTTTATAATTTACTTATTTCATTTAACAAAATATTGTAAATATCAATATTATTCTGAAATTTTACTTCTGACTATGTCATGGGATATGGGTATGCTACAGTTTCTTCTACCAGTGCCCTGTTGTTGAAAACTGTGGTTTGCTGGGTGCAGTGGATCACATCTGTAAACCCAGCTCTTTGGGAGGCAGAGGTGGAAGGACTGCTTGAGTTCAGGAGTTCAAGACCAGTTCAGGAGTTCAAGACATACAGAGACCTTGTCTCTACTAAAAATTAAGAAAACAAAATCAGTGGGCATGGTGGCACACACCTGTACTCCCAACTACTTGGGAGGCTAAGGTGGGAGGATCACTTGAGCTCAGGATGTGGGGGCTGCAATGAGCCATGATCACACCACCGTACTCCAGCCTGGGCAACAGAGTGAGACTCTGTCTCAAATAAAAAAACAACCTGTGGGTTTCCCTGCAGTGTTTTGCAATAATAATGCTTCAATCAATCTCTTTAAAGCTTAGTTGTTAATCTATTAAAATGGAATGATTTTTGTTAACAGCAATATCATATATTAATATAAAATTATTAATATTAAAAAGTGACCCATTTCTTAATAGAATATATCCCATTGCTATATTTTTTTCTTTTCCCAGCATCAGGGACTTACTCTGTAACCCAGGTTAGAGTGCAGCAGCCAGATCATAGCTCACTGCAGCAACAAACTTGAAGTCTTGGGCTCAAACAATCCTCCTGCCTCAGCCTTCCTTGTAGCTGGAACTACAGACACATGAACCACCACACCCAGCCCCCATTACGATATGTTTCTGAGAGTTGTTCTGTTTTTGACATATACTTTCCTGTGGCAGAATTGAGAGAGGCCGAGTAGTATAGTGAAATAACATAGGTGCTGGAATCATGGGACTTTGTAGCCAGAAACAAAAGGCTACAGTCTGCATGTTTTTATTTACATCACATTCCAGAAAAGGCAAAACTGTCAAGACTAAAATAATATCAGTGGTTGCCAAGGGCCAGTGACTAGGGGGAATAAATTGGTCATTAGAAAGTCCACTAGTCTTCTCAGCTGTAAACTGCTGAGCTTCTCTCTTGCCTGCCTCCACTACAGACAGGCTGTAAATGCTAAATATTACTTTCTCTCCTTTGCAGTAAGGATGGCCAGGTGGCACAGCTCTGGCCAATGAAAGGTCTATTGAGAGGGCCAGGTGTGGTGGCTCATGCCTATAATCCCAGCGCTTTGGGAAGCCAAGGCAGGAGGACTGCTTGAGCCCAGGAGTTTGAGACTAGCCTTGGCAATATAGCAAGACCCATTTCTACAATTTTTTTTAAAGCTGGGCATAGTGGCATGTTTCTAAAGTCCTAGCTACTCAGGAGGCTAAGGTAGGAGGATCACTTAAGCTCAGAAGTTCAAGGCTGCAGTGAGCTATGATCACACCACTCCACACCAGCCTGGGTTACAGAGTGAAACCCTGCCTCTCAAAAATAAATAAATAAATAAATAAATAAATAAATAAATAAATAAATAAATAAATATAAATAATTTTAAAAAACAAAGTCTGTTGGGAAAGCTTTTGCCTTCTAACAAAAGCAAAGACACCCTGGTGCCTGCTGCTTCCCTTCCTCCTCCTTCTAGTCGTGAATACAAGCGTAACACCTGGAGCAGCTGTCCTGCAACCACGAGGTGACGCTCATGAGGCTAAATGGCTAACATGGTAAGGGTGGTGACGTGGAAGGTCCAAGAGGCCTGGATCCTTGAAGACACCGTTGGGCCTCCCACGCCAGTCCCAGAATGCCACCTCCAGGGCCTCTTTCGAATCAGGAAAACAACCTCCATCTGTTTAAACCAGGTTTTCTGTCACTTGTAGATGAAAGCATTTCCAGTTAGTATACCAATTGTTGTAAAGGCAAATGAGTTATATACAAGACGGTGCTTTTGTAAAATGGGAACCAACATATACATTGCTGATCAATTACATATAAAATTAATAGCATGCTGACTGGCTGGGCACGGTGGCTCACACCTATAATTCCAGCACTTTGGGAGGCTGAGGCAGGAGATTCATTTGAGCCCAGGAATTTGAGACCAGCCTGGGCAACATAGTGAAACCCTGACTCTATAAATTAAAAAAATAATTTTTTAAAAATGCTATCTTTCTACTTGTGATCTATTTTTCTCTCTCCAAGGTTCTCATTCATCTAGAGTTTATATTACCTTTCCTATACTCTTTCAACATTATTTTCAATTGTATACTACTGATTATTTTTTAAATGTATATAATTAAACCAAAATATTCTGTGCACATTTTTTAAAAATACAAAAATTAAGTTGCCTTATTCAGTGAGTGTGTTGTGAACAGTGCCATGCCTGTATCATTAAAGCAGGACTAACCCTTCCACTGTTGAAAGCAAAGGTATAGTTGCCAGATCCACAAGAATAGTCAAGCCTCTTGAGAAGAGTCAGATATCCCAAGGGACTGTTCTCAAGTGCATCACTTTCCTGAGCTAGGAATTCTCATTCCAATTCACTAGATGAGAAGTGTTGGAAACAAAGGCTGATAATGTTTTTAGGATACAGACCCCACATGTATTATAATTCACGTTAAACATGAAAAAGAGCAAGTCGCTGGCCCCTGAATCTTAGTTTTCTTACTTTTAAAAAGGGGATGTATACAGACTTACCTGAAAGGATACTATAAACATTATAATTAATGTCCATAAAGCACTTGGGTATTGTATTTACTGGATGCTGGTCACAGAAAAGCCTGGCTTCCACACCAGAAAGCCATCTACCTCTTCATTCCTAGGCACAGCCGTCAGACCCCCATTTTAAAATTACCACCCATTGTGTGAGCTTGGAGAAAGCGTCACTTCCTCGTCTGTAAAATATTATCATAATAATAGTTCCTATTTCATAAGAGTGTTATGAAAGATTAGCGAAGTAATCCTGGTAAAGTGCTCAGCATGGCTCCTGGCACATGGATATGCCTAATGTCAGCTATTATTAGTGTCATAACTTGCACCACTTCTGCTCCGTTGGCTCTTTCCCTCTAGCATATAAACACCTTAAGTTTTTTCCATCGAAAATAAATAATATCCCCTAGATATTACCTTTTATTTCTTTTCTCCTACAATTTATTTTTCTCTGGTCATATCCTCCACTTGCCTTTGGCCACATACACATAGCTAATGTCAGCGCCTAAGGATTCAATAAGATCCACCTGACCAAGGTGGAGGGGCCAGGAAAGCACGTGGCAGAGAAGACGCGCAGGAGGCTGTGAGCCAGGATGTCATCTGTTCAAATTTTGGCTCCATGGCTTTCTAGGTGTGTGACCTTAGCACATTTCTTACCATTTCTGAACCTCAGCTTTCTCACCAATAAGCTAGAGATGAAAACATCTGCCTTGCAAGACTGCAGTGAGGTTAAAACGCATAATACACATAAAGTACACAGCACAATGCAATGCATGGTAGGAAATAATTATCACCCAACATGGAAAGTTCATTGCAACTTGCCAATCTTGTTGAGGTGGTAGGACTGAGGCATGAAAAATGATTCAAGAGCAAATTGAGATGTATCTGCCACTGTCTTTAAGAACAAAGAGGGAGTGTGTGTTAAAGCCTTTGACTTCACTGAAAAAAATTAAGCTTTGTGTTGAGCAGGACATTCAGACAGTGGTGAATCTGGGATTGGAATGCAAGTGTAGAATCCAAAGCCAGAAAATTAAATTTAGTGGTTGTAGTGGATGACATGAAAATAGATGTGTTTTATCTATTCCTACATAACAGATTACACAAAAAACTTAGCAGGTTAAAAAAATAAGCATTCACTACCTCACAATGTCCACAGGTCAGGAGTCCTGCAGCAGCATAGCTGGTGGTTCTGGCCCAGGGTCTCTCATGAAGTTACAGTCAAGGTACCTGGGCTACAGGGGCCACTTCCGAGCTCACTTGTGCTGCTGTTGGCAGGAAGCCTCGGTTTCTTACCAGGAAGGCCTTTCCACGGGCTGTTTACAACGTGGCTTCCCTTCCCGTGAGTGATTCACCACAATGAGAAAAGCCTGAGCAGCCCAAGAAGGAAGCTACAGTCTTTTCTAATCTAATCCCAGAAGTGATATGCTGTCACTTCTGCCAATGCCATTGGTTATACAGGCCAACCCTAGTGTGATGTTGGAAGAGACTCACAAAAGAGTGTGAGTGACAGGGCGTGGGATCTCTGAGAGCCAACTTGGAAACTGGATACTACAGATGAGCTCTCAAGCAATTGCATACA